AAACAAATGAAATAAATGAAAAATACTTTGTTATAATTGGGGACTTTAGCATTCCTTTTTTGGTAATCAGTAGAACTGGTAGACTGAAAATCAGCAACAATATAGAGGAACTGAATACCACCATCAACCAACTAGTTCTAAATGACAGTTTTAAAGCATACCCCCAACTACAGACGACATATTCTTTTCAAATATGTATAAAACATTCACCAAGATAGACTAACCTGGGTTATAAAAGAAAGTTACAAAAAATTGTAATCATGGAATTAAACTATAAATCAATAACAGAAAGATAAAAGAAATACACAACACAAACTTGTAGAAATTAGACAACCTATTTTTAAATAAGCCATATGTTGAAGAGGAATTTTTTAAATGAAAATTAGAAAATATTTGAAACTACATGAAAAATCAAAGAAAAATTTATGGGATGCAATTGAAGCAACGCATGGTTGGAAATTTATAGCATTACATGTTTGTATTAGAAAAAAGTATAAACACCTTAAGAAACAACTAATTTAAAAAACTCAAATAGAATGAGGGCAGTAATAGAGTGACATGAAATTGAAAACAATGAGATAGGGAAAAAATCAGTGGGATGAAATTTTTTGAATAGAAAAAATTAACAGGTAGCAATGACAAAGAAAAATTCATAAGGGCATGAAATTTACTATAAAGGTATAATAATCAAGATAGTGTGTTATTGGCAAAGGGATAGACTGATCAATTGAACAGAATAGAAAATCCGGAAACAGACCACACAGTTAATTGACTTATGGAAAATTCATGAAAGCAGTGAGAGTACAGTTTCTTTTCAACAAGTGGTGTGTTAGGTCAATTAACATCTGTATGAAAGAAAGTCCATCAATCTAAATATCACACTTCATACAAAAATTATCTTAAAATGGATCATCTATCTTATATAAAAATAAAGGGCTTTGCCACGTTGGGTTAGGCAAGGAGGCATCCACCTCATCTTTATCCCAGAGCCCAGTGAGGTCAGCCTCCAGGTCAGCCCCACTTTGGTGCAGACTGGTTCATGTGTGCTCTGTGCAGTAGGTAATGGATGTTGGGCTTCAGTGAGGTCATTTTTGTAACATTTATCAAGCACTTAGAGTCAGATACTGTCTTAACTCAATACTTATAACACCTCAGTAACATATGGGTACTATAATATTATAATAATTTTTGAGATGTGGAAGCTGAAACACAAAAAATAAGTACACCTACAGTAAATGCCATGAGTGATAGAACAACACATACCCAGGTATTTGTTACTGAGCTGTTATCACTGTGTTCTGACGTTCTTATCTTTCTTGAACAAGCAAATCACTAAAGACCATAACTTCCATGACCCGGGTTATAAATATATATGTATATATATATAAAATATATGTATATATTATTTTATTTTATTTTTCCTGTGTGAATGTAATTCACAGCCCTGCATTTAGGTTGGTGGATTTTTGCTGCTGAATCAGTGCATTAACCCACTTGAATCTATTTAGCGCCATCTTGTGCCTGAAGTAGGTTTTGCAGGAAGGAGTGCTTCAGCATCCGGGCTAAGGTAGAGAAGACTAAGCGGGAAAGCTTTTGATGACCAAAATATGGCAAATCAGTGCAATCAGAAACCTGAATTCCATAAGACATGAACTTTCCGGTGGCTTAACTTCTCATGTGACTCATTAATAGAGTCTTAGAGGGAAATATATGGAAAGAAAACAGAGAAATTGAACTTAGCTTTTAAATCTTGGGTTATCTTGCCCTTTTGTAGCAGAGCCCTGACTTCTGTGCTCTCAGAGCCTGAGAATTTAGGGAAGAGACTTTCAACTTGGCTTTTCACCTAGGGGGAGGGTCCCCTGAATGGAGCTTCTAGAGGCTGAAGAGTTCACATCTCACTCAGAAGGTGATGCTAAAATCTGCCTCTGAATTGCTGCTCCAGAATAGGAAGTCAAATGGGCAAAGGACTGTGGTACACACTCCCCTTTCTCAGAGACCTGCCTGTTTTGGGAGGGGGAGGAGGAAAAAAAGGGGGAATAAGGAAAAAGGACAGATTAACTGAATTCTCACGGCTCTTCCCTGAAGTGAGGGCTGTAGCTTTCTGAAGAAGGGAGGCAAATGCCAAGAAAGATGACCTCGTAAAGTCTAAAAAATTGATAAAAGCCTCCTAAACACTATTCTATACAATTCTATTTAGTTCCTTTTAATTTACTTTTCCATTACAAAAGTAAAGTTGCTCATAATGGAGAACTTGGGAAAAAGAAAAAAGTAGGAAAAAATATATCCAAAGAACAACATCCAATCATAACACTTAATATTTCATGCATTTTCCTGTGCTGCTTTGTGTGGATATTTGAACATCAAAAAGAATTATACTTAAATTTTCTACTTTTAATTTATTTTATCAGAAATGTGAATAGGTTGGGGCACAGCTTTGTATGCATATGTGGAGTTCTAGAACTAAGTATTGTAGTATCAGTGAGTATCTCTGCTTCATCTTTTTTTCCCCTTCTTTAGCTTACTGTTAATTCCTTAGGATAGAGTCCCCAAATCACAGTGACTGGAGAGAAACCTGATGAGGACTTTCAGGCTCTGAGTACAGACATGGGAAAACCTATCTACCCTGGTTGGAGGTGGACTCTGCTGACTGGTAGCAGTTAGGCTTCGGGCACATTCCTTTACTTTTTTATTTTATTTTTTATTTTTTTAAAAAGATTTTATTTATTTTATGCATACAAGAGCTGGGGTACAGGTCAGAGGTGCAGGAGGTTGAGAGGATTCACCAGAGACAGTGGGGAGCAGAACAGGCAAACTGACTGAAGTACACTGCTGAGGAGAGCAGTGGTCGAGACAGGAGAGGTCTGCTGCGCCATGTGGGTTTCTCTCTGGCTAGCCAGGGATCAAACTGCAGAGGCTATGGGTTGCTTCATAGTGCGGTGCTTAACCCCTTGAGCCACCAGGGAGGCCCTCCTTTACTTTTCAAAGCCTTATTTTTCCCCTCTGTCAAATGGAGGTAAAATATCCAATGCACAGAAGTACTGTGTTAATAACATGTGTAAAGTTCCTGCTCTTAGGTACACTGTGGGCACCAAGTAAATGGTAATGACTTGGAGAATAATTGCAGCACTAAATAGCCTCATTTTAGGATCTATATCATTTTGCTCTGCCACCTGTAATGTATGGAGCTACTTGTTCAACCTCTCTGGCATTTGAGAGTTAATCATTTCTTTTGATAATACATTTGGCAGTTCAATAAAAAATGCTACCTCATTTTAATTTGCATTTTTTTGTGACAGTATGGGACTTTGTGTATTGTAAACCAGTTTGTGATCTCTTTCTTGAAATGCTTTGGGCCTTTTTCTATTGGCATTTAGTAGTTTCATATAAATTTGTATGAACTATTTATATACCAAATCATTTAGTTCTTTATCATACTTGCTATCATATGTCCATTTATCTATTATAATTTTGTATCAGTTTTTTTTATCATATATTACATATCTCTTATGGAGAAAGCACTTATAATTGTGACCTCTTCATAAATTCTGTAGATAAAATTAAGTCTCTAGTATTGTAAATAATGACAAAATTATGTATTCATTTCTAATTGTCCTGCTTATATTTTTCCTCATTATTAAATTTGTCTGAATTCTGTAGCAATGTTAAGTGCTCATAGAATTACTGGGCATCATTTTAAAACTATTCTTAATTTTAGTTGGAATAGCTACAATGTGTGTCACTATTAAATAGAATATTATCTGTTATTTCCCTAATTATACTGTTTGTGTCAAGAATATGGTCAATTTTTCAAACCTTGAATTTTTACATATTTAGGAGCGTACATAATTTTTCTCAGAAAGATTGTGCGGTTTTGTTATATGATCTTTTGTTGGATAGGGGATAATAATGGGCTTTCTAACATCACACAAATATTGATATTTGTATGCGTCAAATTAGAGTATACTCACTGTTTCATGGTTTTCTCTTTACAGCCAACACCATTTCACATAAACTGCTTCTTACAACCTATTAACTTGTATGCATGCATAATGCATAAAAGAAAGTATGAGAAAACATATCATCAACATATTAAGAAGGGTTATCATAAATGATGGAGTAATGAATTATTCTTAATTCTTACTCTACTATGTTCCAATTTTGTAAAAACAAGATGTCCTGCCATTGCCAGAAAAAAAATGGTTTGCCTAAAATTGTCAATGCCATGCTGATTAGCTATGGGTGAAATAAGATTTAGGTTAAATATAATTTAAGGAAGTCTACTTATAGAGTATGCAACTTCTGTTTGTTTATTATGGAGTCCAAATTATTTTGTACTAGGGAAGTTGAAAATTTTGAGTCATTTGTCAAAAAAAGGTAATAACATGACATATTTTTTCATAAATAATGACAATAAGTGGAAACTTTTTCTTGAAGAAATGATTTTTTTTAATGATTTCTGACTTAGCAGAGAATCTTTTGAAGGAATTAAAAATATTTAATACATATTTATCCTTTAGCAAAATGATTTAAATTGTATTAGCTCCGGCTGATTCCATCGAATCTGGGAACTCTCTGACCACAGCCTGGAGCACAAGGTTGCTTTTAGAGATTTCTTTTGTCCTCTTGGCCCCTGTGGGAGGCCACAGCCCAGTCACCATCTCAAGGATATCTTTGCCACGACTGGGGCTACACACAGATATAGAAACACAAAAACATGCATTTATACATCGAGGCGCACAAACAGCAATCACTGGATTTTGTGCCTTAATCACATCTTCTAGATGCCAGGAATAGACAGTGTCTGTCCTGATGTGGTCAACACTTTCACTGTGAAATGAGATCTAGCAAATTCCAGAGCTCAGGAAATTCTCTTCAGATTTGGTTCCTAATATACCATGTACTTAAAGTATAAATATCCAGTTGACATACTGATTCTCAAAGATTTATATTTACATAAAATAACGTAATGTGCTTTGCTTCTCTTTCTTTTTTTTCTGTAGCATTGGGCCAGATCATGTTGTATGTGGATGGGATGAACGGAGTAATAAACCACAATGAAACTATTCAGTGGCTCTACACTCTCATTGGGTCAAAGGTAAGAGTTACTGTTGAGCATTTGGCTCCACTTGCATGTCATACACCTTTCTATTACCCTTTCTGAGTTGGTTTTGCAAGAAAACAGCCCCATTCAATTTTTCTGCAGCCCTGTGACTATGCAAATAAGAACTGCTATTTTATAGGTACTAAAAATCCCAATGAAGGGTCATTGACAATGGGAAAAATACACTCATACTGCAAATAGCTAATGACTTTTTAGTACATTTCTACTTTTTCTTTTAAGGTTTAAAATTGGTGCTTTCTGCACCTCTGGTTTTTGATGTTTGGTTAAAACATAGGTATGGTATCAGTTTTACTTGCTTAATTTCACATTCCTATAATGTTCACTTACTTAAGTAGATACTTATATGTTGTACATTTGGAAATGCATATTCCTATACATTAGATGGAAGAAGTTGGTTCTTTCAACTCTACCATTAATTATTAAAGTAACCAACATTTATTAAAGATTTACCAGACACCATAGTAGGTGCTTTACAAGCATCTCTCCTTTAGTCCCCCTGATATTTTATGTAAGGTAAGTAATGTTATTCCCATTTGAGGGAGTAGTACTTGGTTGCGAGACACTGTTAACTACCCCCCCAGACCTTGGCACATGTCCACCTGGCCATGCCGTGCTGGTGAGATCCCCTGTCTGGAAGTGCTGCCCCGGGGAAGCAGTTACCTATTACCAGGAGTGTGCTAGAAGCTGGGCATGTCTCAGATGGGCCTGGATTCTGGCTGGAGGAGGGATTTGGAAAGAGTAAGAGGGAATTTTGTCCCGGCCAGGTACAAATGATCCAAGGTTGGTTTGGTGTGAGGTCAGCATTTGGGGTAAAGTGGGTGAAGCATAGTGCAGGAGAGCAAAGTGACTATAGTGGGCAACAGAGCCATACAGAGGGGTGTCTAGAGGGCCTGGTATGGAATTTGAGCCTGTGTTCAACAGATCGCAGAATCAGTGTAGTTTTTAGGCATCGTGTAGTAAGCCACATTGTTCCCCACCCCTGTATTCGCTGCCATCCCATCTTGAGCCAGCCTGTTGAGCTCAGTGGGCCCCAGCATCCTGTTCCCAGTGTTGGGCCACATCCCTTGACCTTGCTTCTCTCCTCCCTTGCTTCCCAGGGCATGGGCTGTGCTTGGGCAGGGGGGCGGTTATGTTTGGGGGAGACTTAGCTGGCTTTGTTGTGCCAAGAACAGATCTAGTTTGAGGTTGAACCCTCCTTTCAGGCTTGAGTCCTGGTGATTATGCTGTGTGGGTGGGAGGCCTTTCCTCTGGACGGCACTGGTGTGTGACACCCTCTGGACGCCTTCCAGATCCTTGCTTGACCCTCACATCTTCTCAATTTTCCTTTTCCCATTGTTACTGATGACAGACTCCCCCCCGCCCCCTATTTCATAATAGAAATAGCCGTGGTTTTTCTCCGGAGACTGAACATCTTTACTTCTTTTTTATTTGGCTTTGTTTTCTATGGAAAATGGAAACGACTCTTTTCAAACTGCTGTAGGTGACCTTACAGGCGGAGTGGAAAGCTGGACCTACTAGGCTGGGGTAGATTTCTATCTCATATCCTGTTTCAGTGTTTCCTTCCTTCTGCTGGGAGCCACTGCACTCCTCCCACCACCACCACAACCATCACATTAATTTGGAAGCTGCTCCCTCCCTAAGGCTCTCTGGATGGTTCTGAGGACCCCCAGAGCGGGGAGATAGGAAGAGATTTTGCAATAGAAATTGTCTTTTGGTCCATGTCCTGCTGATTGAAGACATTTTTATAACTTTTTGTGGTCAATGATAGAGCACCAACAACCAATCCCACTTCTCAAACGATATAAAGCCTAGCACGCTTACCACAGGACAAGGGGCAGTCTTAGCTCACCCCGTGTGTGTGCGTGTGTGTGTGTGTGTGTGTATGTGTATGTGTGTATGTACATCCATATACACTGTGTGGGGGTGTGTGTGTACACCTGGTGATGGGATCGGAGAAGGGAAAAGAAGATACAGAGAGCAAAGTCAAAGAGAAGAAGAAGGTGGCAAAAAGCAAGAGGAGAGATCATGGGGAAGAGAAAATGAGAAAAAGGAAACAGGCCTAACAGGAAAGCTTCGCTGCTTGGGAGATGGGAGGCAACCTGGAAGCGTCGGTATTGGCAATAGCATTCTGTCAATTTTTCTTGGGAATCCTTTTGTAAGAAAAATAACTGGAAAGGAACACAGGGAAATTCAGAAATTGTGTTTCTAAATATCATGAGAAATCATTAAGTGTTGAGCTGTCATGGGTTTGTAGAAACAACGCACCCTGCGTATCCCTCCTCGGGGCTCTTATCTATGGTGAGATATTTGCTTCCTCCCCAGTCCCTTGGGGCATCAGCTCAGGAGCGGTGCTGGCTTCTTTCTCCATCTTTTCCCCAAAGAAAGGTCCATAAAAGTATGGGGCTTCTGTATTCATCACCAGGCTGGTCACTGTGAGGACGAGGCAATAGAGCCAAGGAGCAGCCTAAGCCGTGGAGCCGGCAGTGCTGGCAGAAGGGGGCCAGGGCAAATACCACAGCCCATGGCCGCTCGCTGTGATGTCAGATGAGGGTCCCCCATGACCCTGCAGCGTATACTGAGTTCTAGGCTACTGGCTGGAATGAGCCGCAGCAGCAGCCACCGAGTTTATTTTCAGTCAAGTTCTAATGAGATATCACCACTTCTTTACAAAATAGTGTCTCCTGTCATTCCCCCCACAGCCTGCATCTGGATAGTGATAAATCTACAAGAAGAATGGAAATTCAACCTAAAACCCTGAGGTCTTGAGAGGGAAGCCTTAGTCCCCTCCTAGATGTACAGAATGGGAGATACAGACACAAGAGTTCGTCCCAATTCAAATTAAATTAGGTAGTCGGGAAAGCCAAGGGGTCTGGGTTTTCTTGATTAAGAGTCAGATTTCCCTGAACCTAAAAGTTTACCTTGAGATCTGGTTGTTTTTTCCTTAAACAGGCACAGAGTTGATAAATGAAACCCTGGATTAGAGAAAACCTTGTTGTCCTGTTTTCATAATTCTTCCTTTCCGTCCCTGAAAGGCACTAAGACGTGACTTCGTGGTCTGCCAGACAGCCATTATGCAATGCATATTTGCAGATACTTGAGACTCATAGCCAGAGGAGAAAATGATGCATTTGCAGCCAAATAACTACTTTTTTAAAGAAAGAAAAAAGTGTTTTCAATAGTGTTTGATTCTGCTTACAAAAACCCATCTTTAAACTCCCCAGGCCAAGGTAAGAAGCAGATACCCATCCCTTGACTTATCTATCACACTGTGGGGGGCTTTTCCTTCATGCATCTGGAAGTATAATTGATTGGGAGTAAGCTGATTCAGCTTTTGTCACCATAACAGAAAATCTGTCTCCCAAAATTTGTATGGATCCACTCTGGCCCCTGGAGTGCACAAGGCTTAGGGTCCTTGCAACTAGAAGGTCCCACCTCATTTCAGGTTCTCCAAGGACACCTCCTGATGTGGTCAGAGAATCTGCCCTCTCCAGTGCTGTCCACATTGGCTCCCTGCTCTATTTTTCTGTCAGCTCCTTGGAATCTAATTTTTCCAGCTGAATCCCAGGTTACTGATCACAGATGTCTAGACATCCCTTGTGCTTGTGTGGGGTGGACATGTTTCCCAATTCCCACTTAGCCCCAGCGTCTAAAGCTGAGCTGAGGGCAGGCCAACGTGCAGTTCCCCTTTCTTTCTTTCTGTTTCTACACTCTCTCTCTCTCTCTCTCTCTCTCTCTCTCTCTCTCTCTCTCTCTCTCTCACTCACATACTCACACACACTCACTCACACTCACACTCTCACACTGGAGACACGGCTGAAAGTTTCTCATTAGGACAATAAGATGATGAGAAATAGCATATGGTATGTAGAATGGAGGATGAAAGGAGAAGAAATGGACAGAGATAGGAAGTGGCAGGCAGCAGTTTCCAAACCATGAGGTGGGGGGCTTACTCAAGAGTTGCTATGGAAACAGAACATCATGGAAACAGGAAGATATTTTGAGGAATAGCTTCTTAGGGTTGGATTTCTGGATGTAGAAAAATAAAAGCAGAATCAAAGAGGGTGCCAGAGTGTTGATTCTGGGCAGCTATGCATACGGCATTGGCTCTGCAGGAGCAGAGAGGTTCGAAGGGGCCTCCCTGGCAGAGGAGTTTTGGCATGCTGGTTTGAGAGGCAGACACTGTTCCCCAGAAGAGCTAAGCAGGTGCCTCCATGGTGCCAGTGCTCCATGAGGTGCTGGCTGTTTGTGAGGAGATTCAGTGAACCCCTTTATCCATCACCCCCATGCTCTCCTCTTAGATGATCCACACACCAGGGCGATCCAAAGCACTTCATGAGTTGCATAATATAAAATAATAGTCGTAGCCTTGAAGAGATGGCAAAGTCCTGTTAAAGATGCTCCTGACACTCAGCCATCACATCACTGATATTTCTAGAGGCAGCAGGAGTGCTGTTTCCTTCCAGCAGCTGTGTTCCTTGGGACCTGCAGTGGCCTCTGCCATTAAATAAATGTGCACTGCTGAAATAAACGCGCATTAAATAAATAAAAAACACACACAACCCTGTGGAAGCTTAGTTTTTAAAGGCAGTTACCATGCCATCCTGTCCAAGGTAAACTCGATGTTTCCACAGACAGCCCCTGAGGACCTAATTTGTAGTTCCTCATGCCTGTTACTAACTGTTCTGTCCATCTGGACAAGGAATAGTGATGTGGTAGCCTCCTGGGGTGTGACATTGTTGTTCTACACACCCCACTATGGTTCACGAGGCTTTTCAGCAGCAGTAGCCTTGGGTACTGGCTCAACTCTAGCTGATCATCCACTAACCTCCCAGGCTTTGTGCTCACACATCCCTGTGTGCCATCAGAGTCTCTGATAGATTGTTTCACTTCTAAATGCAGGGCTCTGCATTTTTTCCCACTGATTTCAGGGCAGAGTTCTGGCCTCTAGATAATTATGAATTTTTCCTGGGCCA